TTTTGTTCTCAAATGGTATTTTGACATCATACAAAAGCTTTGAACATTATGCAAGGAGCTTCAATGATTGAGAAATCTGGGCAGAAGCCACAGGAAAGGATGAATGTATTGTCAAATGTTTTACAAACATCTGGGCAGAAGCCACAGGAAAGGATGAATGTGTTGTCAAATGTTTTACGAACCTCTGGACAGAAGCCACAGGAAACGATGAACGAGTTGTCAAATGTTTTACGAACCAGTGATTATAATGCTGAACCAATGTTGAGATCATATGGTATTTCCATTTATGGACCCAAGATGAAGTTTGTCTTCTTCAACCCCAAGGTTAGAAGTGAGATATGATGAAGATTTCTTTCCACAGAAGTGGAGCTGAAATTTTAACAACAAGAAACTAGTGGAGCCAACTAAGATTGAACAAATAGGTTGTTTTTAAACATCTCGACATGATATGGTCTGAATGGCTTTATTCGAGATCCAATTAGATGTTGAGACATGAAAGGAATTAGGATAAATCCTCCTTGTGATGTGTTTCAAGAGTCAAATCAGAACAGACTCTACTCTCCTAATTAATCCTTGCTGAGTTTGGCATATCTACATCTACATTCTTCAAAGATGATAGATTCTCTTTTCAAAGATGAAAGCTTTATTGGATTTTTACACAAGTCCAAGCGAAGAAAGACGATGTTATCAAAGAAAAAAATGGGGCATCAAGGTCATAATTCTGACTACGGCAAGAGTTCCATAAATGAAACATTTCTTCTGAGACTTTAATGAAACAAAGAAGACACAAAGATACAAGTTGATCAAATGGTTCTTCAGAAATGAAAGCTTGATTGCATAAGTGGCTACACTAATATCCGAAAGTAACCCTATCAATAAATGATCAAGTGAAGGAAGACCAAGTTCACCACTTTGAAATCAAATGAAGATTGCATCAACATTCATGCATTCATAAAAACATCATTTTCACAATAGACAATGCACTACATTGATACATTTGATTGCATTCAAACATAAGGTTTTTTTTCTTCAGATTTTCGTATGGAAAAGAAGATTAATGATGAAAAATACCTTACAATAAGTAGGTAGAATTCAAGACCTCGAATATAGGAATCACACAAACATATGAAGAATAGATGGACATAATCCAAAAATGAAACATTATTTTAAAATAGGGCATGTTACCCAATCAACAAGTTATTTCGAAAAAAATGAGAAAATGATTTCCAAAATTTCTCATTTAATCTTTTCTAAAAATGAAATTGTTGAATAGTAAGAAAACGATTTCCAATGTTTCTTACTTAGTAAACTATTTCCCACATCTGTAAGCCCTTCAGTGCATGATGTTCTCAAAAAGCCTTCGGGAGCTTTTCGATGTTTTCAAGGCCTTCGAGTCATCTGTAAGCCCTTCAGTGCATGATGTTTTCAAAAAGCCTTCGGGAGCTTTTTGATGCTTTCAAAACCTTCGGGTCATCTGTAAGACCTACAGTGCAGGATGTTTTCAAAAAGCCTTTGGGAGCTTTTTGATATTTTCAAAACCTTCGGGTCATCTGTAAGCCCTTCAGTGCATGATGTTTTCAAAGCCTTCGGGTCATCTGTAAGCCCTTCAGTGCATGATGTTTTCAAAGCCTTAGGGTCATCCATAAGACCTACAGTGCAGGATGTTTTCAAAAAGCCTTCGGGAGCTTTTTGATGTTTTTAAAACCTTCGGGTCATCCATAAGACCTACAGTGCAGGATGTTTTCAAAAAGCCTTCGGGAGCTTTTTGATGTTTTCAAAGCCTTCGAGTCATCTGTAAGCTATTCATTGCATGATGTTTTCAAAAAGCCTTTGGGAGCATTTTGATGTTTTCAAAACCTTCGGGTCATCTGTAAGACCTACAGTGCATGATGTTTTCAAAAAGCCTTCGAGAGCTTTTTGATATTTTTAAAACCTTCAGGTCATCTGTAAGCCCTTCAATGCATGATGTTTTCAAAGCCTTCGGGTCATCCATAAGATCTACAGTGCAAGATGTTTTCAAAAAGCCTTTGGGAGATTTTTGATGTTTTCAAAGCCTTCGGGTCATCTGTAAGCCCTTCAGTGCATGATGTTCTCAAAACCTTCGGGTCATCCATAAGACCTACAGTGTAGGATGTTTTCAAAAAGCCTTCGAGAGCTTTTTGATGTTTTCAAAACCTTCGGGTCATCCATAAGACCTACAATGCAGGATGTTTTCAAAAAGCCTTCGGGAGCTTTTTGATGTTTTCAAAGCCTTTGGGTCATCTGTAAGCCCTTCAGTACATGATGTTTTCAAAACCTTCGGGTCATCTGTAAGACCTACAGTGCATGATGTTTTCAAAAACCTCCAGTGTAAGATGATAAGACCTCAGGGCCATTCATAAGACCTCTGGGCAGAATGTTTTCAACATTTCCATCATACTCAAAAGAAGCCAAATGAAAAAATTATTGTCTTTTTTTGTTTTTTTCTCTATTCTTGTTAACACAAGAATGAGCAAAGAGGGGCAACTGTAGACATTAATTTTTAATCTTATTAATATTATTATTATTATTATATATTATTATTATTATTATTATTATTATTAATTACAAATAATTACAAAACCCAACAGTAAACCGAGGTCCAATTACAACCAAATAGTGACCCAAACACGATGACCCAGATCCAGAAGCCCAAAGAAAACCTTAAACTCAATTAGGGTTTATATTACATACACCCAGCCACCGCATCTCTCAACCATTAGATCTGAGAGATCCAACGGTCCATAGAAAGAACAACAAGAAGCCCTAGGATTTCCTAACCCTAGGTTATCATCTCGTGCCGTCGCTTGGATTGGAGACAAGCCAGCCGTCGCTTTATTACCAGGTGGTCCAACGCCCCGCTGCCGACGCCGCTGCTTCAACCAACTGCTGCCATGTGCCTCGGCCACCTTCTGTCTCCTTCATCAAAGCCTCCAGGAGGCCAGCTGCCCCTCCACACGTCAAGCTCTATGGTGAGTCACCATCATAGCTATGGTGACTCACTGTAAACCCCCTCTGTGACTGGTCCAAAGCAAGTGTCGTGGTGGCCTATAAAGCCACCACCGAACCTGAAAAATAAAAGAACAGAGAAGAAAGAGGAACCACCGAGAACAACAAACAACATACAGAGGAAACAAAATAAGCAAGATACAAAAAAAAAACTACCAACGATCCCAGTTAACAAATCGAAAGAGGAAAATATAAGGAAACTTACCCCGCTCGTCTGAAACGCTGTATAACCGAAGGTAATACCTATGGTTTCTTTTAGATCTAGGAAAATCCAAAGGGTTTTAGGATGAAACAAGGTCGTATTCGGCCTTAGGGTAAAAAATGAGAAATTCAGGGTTACTTTTCCAAATTTCGGCCACCGTGAACGGTGGACAGCGGCGGCCGGTGGTCCCCAAAATTCCCTCCGATGAGGGAAGCTAGAGAGAGGGGAGAGCATTTTCATCTCTCTCTTTTAGAGAGAAAGTGAAAAAAAGAAAAATGAAAGAAGATGGCCCTTAGGGCCGACCATGAGGGGTTTATATACCCCTCCCAAACATCGTCGTTTTAGGGGAGGGGTATAAACGTAATTTATGCGCAGGGACAAACCCTTTCCGTAATACCTGTAGTTTTATAATTTTGCATTTTAGTCACTTAAATCAAATTATGATCATTTTAATTCGGTTTTTTTAATTTTAATTACTTTATAATTTAATCACTACCATGCTTTTATATATTTTAAGTAAAATAACTTATTTAGTCCCTTATAATTTAATTAATTTTTATTTTAATTACTGATTAATAATCAAAGGTTAATTACACTATTAGTAATTATGTTTTTATAATAATTCAAATTAGGCCATTAATTTATATATTTTACATTTTAATCCCTAATAGTTTGATATTTTTCATTTAATATATTTTGCATTTTAATTTTATAATTTTAATTTCTTTTATTTTGATCATTAATTATTTGCAATATTATTTTATTATTACTTTTTGATATATTTTTAAATTATTACTTTCATTATTATTTTATTATTATCTTAGTCATATAAATATATATTTAAATAATAATATTTATTTATTTTTTTAAGAAAAGCCAGTCTTAATATAACTAGATGTCTTATTCTGGTATTTTAAATAAATAAATATTATAAAAATTATATATTTAATTTTATTATTTTTTAAGAAAAATTATCACATTTTCAATATTATTTAGTTTTTAATATTAAAGAAAGGGCGGTCTTAAAATAACTAGACGTCATATTCTGATATTTTAAAAATAAATAAATATCATGCTTATAAATATATATATATATATATATATATATATTTTTACTTCATTTTTATTATTTTTAGGAAAATTATTATATTCTTATTAATATTTATTTATTTATTAATATTAAAGAAAAGACAGTCTTAAAGCAACTAGATATTCTTTTCTGATATTTTTAAATAAATAAATTTCTTATTTACAAAACCCTAAATATATATATATATATAAATTTAATATTTTTTCCTTAGAAATATCAGATTAAATTTGAAATAAAAAGATCATAAATTAAATTTATATTCAAATTCTTAAATTCTATTATTAGAGATAATTTATAATCAACAGAGACCAATTTTGGGCGTTGTTGGGGTGTTAATCCTTCCCCAAACGTTAACCGACCACGAATCCATTTTTATTATTAAAAAGAACGAATTTTTGGTTAAATGCAGACCAACTTATCTTTTAACTGATGTTTTTTTAAAAACTCTTTTAAAATATGATTTTTAGGTATTCGACCTACCTGACCCAAAAGACCGATGGCGACTCCCAAAACATTTCAATAAAAATCATTTATCCACATTATTTTTCCCTTCAAGTAAAATTTCGTACCCGGGCGAAAACCGGTTACGACATGTATGTAACATCAATATGTTCTATAGTATTAGATTTCTCTTAAAGATTCGATCTTAAATCTCATCTTGTCCGATGTTTTCGTGAAGAAATGACCGAAGATAACGGGAACCCGATTTGGAAGAACCGGGTGGAAAGTTGGAAAGAAAAGAAGAGCAAGAAGAAAAAGCCTGCAAAAACTAAGGCTGGCACAGAAGCTCAAGTCCCACCTGAGCAGCAAATGGAAGATAACCCGTAAGTATTTAACTAAAGAGCAGATTAATGATAAGATTCTACTTAGTGCAATGTTTGTGTTTATGGCAAGTCTTATTGATATATGTAACATTGGAGTTTGCAGGGTACCGGATGCTTCCCAGCCCCTCTCGACTATAATTCCGATTCCAAAAAGCAGACTGGCACCATACCGAACTGTGATCGTTATGCGATTGATCATCCTCGGTCTTTTCTTCCATTACCGTGAAACGAACCCTGCCGACAGTGCTTTTGCCCTGTGGCTCACTTCAGTCATATGTGAAATCTGGTTTGCCTTTTCCTGGGTGTTGGATCAGTTTCCTAAGTGGTATCCTATTAACAGGGAAACATACATTGATAGACTATCTGCAAGGTACAAATCTAATGATCCATTAATGAGCTAATAACAAAAGTTATCTTATTTCAGTTGATTCAGTATCATAACTATTAATATATGGTTTGTGGCTAAGTTTGTTGTATCGATAACTACCGATTTTTTTCCGGATACCATGACAGATATGAAAAAGAAGGTGAACCTTCTGAACTTGCTGCAGTGGACTTCTTTGTGAGTACAGTGGATCCTTTGAAAGAACCGCCGTTGATCACTGCCAATACCGTGCTTTCCATCCTTGCCCTGGACTACCCTGTGGATAATGTCTCTTGTTATGTATTCGATGATGGTGCCGCGATGCTGACATTCGAATCTCTAGTTGAAACAGCTGATTTTGCAAGAAAGTGGGTTCCGTTCTGCAAAAAGTTTGCCATTGAACCACGGGCACCGGAGTTTTACTGCTCGCAGAAGATCGATTACTTGAAGGACAAACTGCAGCCATCTTTCGTGAAAGAACGTAGAGCAATGAAAGTAATGTTGGTTTTTGGCAAAAGTCCCACATTGGTTGTGTATAAGGAGGAGGGGAAATTCTTTTGTTATAAATAAAGCCCTCCTCCTCCTTAGTTAATCATCCCACAAATATAAGCCTTCTTCTATTTTAAAGGCTATTTGTATTCTTTCTCTCTTTGTAATATTTCCTCTATTAGTGAAATATTTTGGTGTTCTCTTTTATGTCTATTTAATAGCTATTGTCGGGTATAGTTGTTGTCAATTATTGTCCTATTAAAATTACTTGTCTTGGTAGTTCTGTCTAAGGAAAGTGGTTTTAAGAGGGACCATTGTGACCTCCTCTTTCCTGGGAATCTACCTTGGGGTGATTTTTAGTACAATCGTTTTCACACTAGTCACCTAGATAATAGTTTTCACGGTGAATCTGTTATTGGTGGAAATTAACCCGAATTTCACAACAATTGGTATCAGAGCTCTTGGTTTATTTTAGTATGCTCTGTGGTTGCGGCTTAGGCTGATCTTCCACATCAGAAAAATTTCCTTGGGATAATTGACATTCTGCATTGGCAGCTATTAAATAGAATTTGTAGCAGAAATGGCAGACGCTTCTTCATCTTCAATTTTGGCAAGAAATGCTGTGACAAATGTTAGATTTGCAGTGGAGATTTTTGATGGCACCGGTCATTTCGGCATGTGGCAAAGCGAGGTTCTAGATGCCCTATTTCAGCAGGGTCTAGACATTGCTATTGAAGGAGAGAAACCAGATGATGTTGAGGAGAAAGAATGGAAGAGGATCAATAGAATGGCATGTGGTACTATTCGATCGTGTCTTTCTAGAGAGCAGAAGTATGCATTTTCTAAGGAAACTTCTGCAAGTAAATTGTGGAAGGCACTGGAGGAGAAATTTTTGAAGAAAAGCGGTCAGAACAAACTCTACATGAAAAAGAGACTGTTCCGCTTCAACTATGTACCAGGTACCACTATGAATGATCACATTACTAGCTTTAATCAGCTGGTGACTGATCTGATGAATATGGACGTGACTTTTGAAGACGAAGATCTGGCTCTGATGTTGATGGGATCACTTCCTGATGAGTTTGAGTATCTTGAAACTACTCTACTTCATGGGAAGGTTGATGTGTCTCAGTGAAGTAACTGCTGCCTTGTATAGTTATGAATTGAGAAAGAAAGACAAACAAGAAACACAAGTGTCGAAGCAGAAGCTCTTGTTGTTAGAGGCCGTTCCAAGAGTCAGAATAAAGGAAGCAGAGGGAGATCGAAGTCAAAGTCCGATTGAGCAAAGATGAATGTGCTTTTTGTCGAGAAAAAGGGCACTGGAAGAAAGAATGTCCCAAGCTAAAGAATAAAGGCAAACCTGAAAGGGGGAAGGCTGTCTCAGAATCAAATGTGGTCGAGTATGATGATGGAGATTCAGATTTCGCATTCGCTGCTACGCCATCAACCAGCTGTTCCAGTTCATGGCTGTTAGATTCACTTGTAGCCACCATATGACCCCCAATAGAGAATGGTTCTTTGATTTAAAGAACTAAAAGGTGGAATTGTCTACACAGCAAATAATTCCCCTCTTGACACACTTGGGATTGGTTCAATTCGCTTGAGGAATCAGGATGGATCAATCAGAACCTTAACAGGTGTCCATTATGTACCAGATTAATGAGAAATCTCATCTCTGTGGGAACCTTAGAGTCAAAGGTTTAGAAGTGAGGGCAAAAGATGGGATTATGAGGATTATCTCTGGTGCACTGGTGATAATGAAGGGAATCCGAAAAAGAAACAATGTGTATTACTTCTGGTAGTACAATTGTTGGGACAGCAGCAGTGGCAGCTTCTACTGATGAACAGGAGTCAGAAGCAACCAGGTTATGGCATATGCGCTTGGGGCATGTTGGTGAAAAATCCTTGAAATTACTGATAGATCAAGGATTATTGAAGGGTGCTCGGGCTTGCAAATTAGCTTTTTGTGAGCATTGCATCAAAGGGAAGAAGACGAGGGTGAAATTTGGAACAGCAATCCATGATACTAAAGGTATTTTGGATTATGTTCATTCAGATGTATGGGGGCCTTCCAAGACAACTTCATTGGGAGGAACACACTATTATGTCACCTTTGTTGATGATTTTTCCCGGAGAGTTTGGGTGTATCCAATGAAGACAAAGGATGAGGTGCTAGGATTTTTCCTTAAATGGAAAAGATGATGGAGACTCAAACAGGCAGAAAAATCAAACGTCTCCGTACAGACAATGGTGGAGAGTACAAAATGATCCATTTCTGAAGTCTGTGAAGAGGAAGGTATTGTTAGGCACTTCACTGTCAGAGGTACACCACAACAGAATGGAGTGGCAGAGCGTATGAACCGGACATTAGTGGAGAAGGTTCGGTGTATGTTGTCTAATGCTGGGTTAGGCAAAGAATTTTGGGCTGAGGCTTTGGTCTATGCTTGTCACCTTGTCAACCGCTTACCATCGACTGCTATTGGTGGTAAAACACCATTAGAGAAATGGTTTGGAGTACCTGCTACAGATTATGATTCCTTACATGTGTTTGGTTCCACTGCATACTACCATGTTAAGGAGTCAAAGCTGGATCCAAGAGCAAAGAAGGCGATTTTTATGGGGATCACCTCTGGTGTGAAAGGCTATCGTCTTTGGTGTCCAGAAACAAAGAAAATAATCTTCAGCAGGGATGTTACCTTTGATGAATCTACCATGTTGAGAAAGGTGACTTCAGAAAAATTGGAGCAGACAGATGGAACTCCCAAAAGGTGGAGTTTGAAGGAAGCAAATTTGTCCCAACCAGTAAAGAAAATGATGTTGACTCTCCTATGGTAGAAGAAGAGTCAGATGAAGAAGAGGTTCAGACCCAAGAACCTCCACAGCAACATGAATCAATTGCACTCAGAAAGGGAAAGAGGACCATTAGACAACCTGCTCGTTATGCTGATATGGTCTCTTTTGCATCACCAATTGCAATTGATGACGTTCCTGCCACTTTTAATGAAGCAGTTCAAAGTTCAGAACATAAAAAGTGGAGGATTGCCATGAATGAAGAAATGCAATCCCTTCAAAAGAATCAGACGTGGAAACTAGCTAGTCTTCCGAAGGGAAAGAAGGCAATTGGGTGCAAGTGGGTATATGCAAAGAAAGATGGATTTCCTGACAAGAATAACATCCGCTACAAAGCAAGATTGGTGGCTAAAGGCTACGCTCAACGGAGGGAGTTGATTATAATGAAGTATTTTCTCCAGTTGTAAAACATTCCTCCATCAGAATTTTGTTGGCTTTGGTAGCGCAGTTGGATTTGGAACTAGTTCAGATGGATGTAAAACTGCATTTTTACATGGAGACTTGGATGAGGAAATCTACATGACTCAGCCAGATGGATTCAAAGTTGCTGAAAAGAAGAGATGGTGTGCAAATTAGAAAAATCGTTGTACGGATTGAAGCAATCTCCAAGGCAGTGGTACAAGCGATTTGACAAGTTTATGATAGGGAAGTACACAAGAAGCAAATATGATCATTGTGTGTATTTACGTGAGCTAGAAGACGGATCCTATATATATCTTCTTCTTTATGTGATGATATGCTGATAGCTTCCAGGAGTCAGACAGAAATTGCGAAACTAAAGACTCAATTGAACAGGGAGTTTGAGATGAAGGATCTTGGTGAAGCGATGAAGATTCTAGGCATGGAGATATCAAGGGATAAGAAATTGGGGAGGCTTTGTTTGTCTCAGAAAGAATATCTGAGGAAGGTACTAAAACGTTTTGGCATAAATGAGATGTCAAAACCAGTTAGTACACCTCTTGCTCCTCATTTCAAGCTCGGTGCATCCATGTCACCTAAGGATGATGCAGAACGGGAATACATGTCAAAGGTTCCGTATGCAAGTGCTGTTGGTAGCTTGATGTATGCAATGGTGTGTACGAGACCCGATATTTCACAGGCAATTGGGGTTGTGAGCAGGTATATGCATGATCCTGGAAAGGAGCATTGGCAAGCTGTGAAATGGATTCTGCGGTATATTCTAAACACCGTAGATGTTGGTTTGGTCTTTCAGCAGGACAAACAAGATGGTCAGTGTGTAGTTGGGTATTGTGATTCAGACTATGCAGGTGATTTGGACAAGCGTCGATCAACTACTGGTTATGTGTTTACATTTGCAAAGGCACCAGTCAGTTGGAAGTCCACCTTACAGTCAACAGTGGCTTTGTCTACTACAGAGGCAGAGTATATGGCAGTTACAGAGGCTGTGAAGGAGGCAATTTGGCTTCAAGGGTTGCTTGGTGAATTGGGAATAGAACAAAAGCACATCAAAGTGCACTGTGACAGTCAGAGTGCTATTCATTTAGCAAAGAACCAGGTTTACCATGCAAGGACGAAGCATATTGATGTTCGATATCACTTTGTACGAGAGATTCTAGAAGAAGGTGGAGTCATAATCCAGAAGATTCGGACCACTGAGAATCCTGCTGATATGTTGACAAAAGTGGTAACTGCGGTCAAGTTTAAACATTGTTTAGATTTGGTCAATATTGTTACAAATTAAAAGATTGTTTTTTAGAGATGTGTGTGGAATTTGCCAAGGTGGAGATTTGTTGGTTTTTGGCAAAAGTCCCACATTGGTTGTGTATAAGGAGGAGGGGAAATTCTTTTGTTATAAATAAAGCCCTCCTCCTCCTTAGTTAATCATCCCACAAATATAAGCCTTCTTCTATTTTAAAGGCTATTTGTATCTTTCTCTCTTTGTAATATTTCCTCTATTAGTGAATATTTGGTGTTCTCTTTTATGTCTATTTAATAGCTATTGTCGGGTATAGTTGTTGTCAATTATTGTCCTATTAAAATTACTTGTCTTGGTAGTTCTGTCTAAGGAAAGTGGGTTTTAAGAGGGACCATTGTGACCCCTCCTCTTTCCTGGGAATCTACCTTGGGGTGATTTTTAGTACAATCGTTTTCACACTAGTCACCTAGATAATAGTTTTCACGGTGAATCTGTTATTGGTGGAAATTAACCCGAATTTCACAACAAGTAAGTTCCCCAAGCTTTCTTTGGCTACATTTCTTGGAACATTATAGAGCGTAATACTACCATGTATGATTTAATAACATCCTTTCGATTTGATTACAGAGAGACTGAAGAATTCAAAATCAGAATCAATGCTTTAGTTGCAAAGGCTCAGAAAACACCTGAAGAAGGATGGACAATGCAAGACGGAACTCCGTGGCCGGGAAATAACATGCGTGATCACCCTGGCATGATTCAGGTTTTCCATGGATATAGCGGTCTCCATGACATCGAAGGAAATGTACTTCCCCGGCTGGTTTATGTCTCTAGAGAGAAGAGACCTGGCTACCAACACCACAAAAAAGCTGGTGCAGAAAATGCTTTGGTTCGGGTGTCTGCGGTTCGTACAAATGCTCCATACATTCTCAATCTCGATTGTGACCACTATGTTAACAATAGCAAGGCGGCTAGGGAGGCAATGTGCTTCCTGATGGATCCACAAGTCGGTCGAGATGTATGCTATGTGCAGTTTCCTCAAAGATTTGATGGTATAGATAGGAGTGATAGATATGCGAATCGTAACACAGTTTTCTTTGACGTAAGCTTAAAGCTAAACCCAGTTTTCTGCTTGGTTTTAAGTATAAAAGAAGCCTCTTGAGTTCTGAAAATTCTTCCAATATTTTCAACTTCAGGTTAACATGAAAGGTCTTGATGGAATTCAAGGGCCAGTTTATGTGGGAACAGGTTGCGTTTTCAATAGGCAAGCACTTTATGGGTATGGGCCACCTTCAACGCCTAGCTTGCTGCCCAAGTCATCTTCTTCATCTTGCTCATGGTGTGGCTGCTGCCCGGGCAAGAAGGAACCAAAAGATCCATCAGAGCTTTATAGGGATGCAAAACGTGAAGAACTCGATGCTGCCATCTTCAACCTTAGGGAAATCGAAAGTAAGTCGAAATCTTGACTAGTACTACACCGAGCCATTGAATTGTTGACATATCTCCCCTCTTTCGTTTTTGCAGACTATGATGACTATGAAAGATCAATGCTGATCTCTCAAACGAGCTTCGAGAAAACGTTCGGCTTATCTTCTGTCTTCATTGAATCTACACTAATGGAGAATGGAGGAGTGGCAGAATCTGCCGATCCTTAATAATTAGCTGACCCTATTCCCATATATAATGAGGTAAGGGAAGGTAAGGTAATAGGCTACCCCAACGCTAAGTTAAGAGCAGGAAGACCTCCAGCAGTCAGAATTATAAATTGCCTACCGTGGACTCGATCCCACGACCACAAGGTTAAGAGCCTTGCACTCTACCAACTGAGTTTGACGGACAATTCTGCCAATCCTTAATCAAGGAAGCAATTCACGTCATTAGCTGTGGCTATGAAGAGAAGACTGCATGGGGGAAAGAGGTTCAAATTTCGATTCTTAATTATCATATGAAACTTAAAAAGAAGCAGTTGAAACATTCTATATGATTGCTCAGATTGAATGGATATACGGCTCGGTCACGGAGGATATCTTAACCGGTTTCAAGATGCACTGCCGAGGATGGAGATCGATTTACTGCATGCCCTTAAGGCCTGCATTCAAAGGGTCTGCACCAATCAATCTGTCCGATCGGTTGCACCAGGTTCTCCGATGGGCTCTTGGATCAGTCGAAATTTTCCTAAGCAGGCATTGTCCCCTATGGTATGGCTTTGGAGGCGGTCGTCTTAAATGGCTTCAAAGGCTAGCATATATCAACACCATTGTTTATCCTTTCACATCTCTTCCTCTCATTGCTTCTTGTTCTCTGCCGGCAATCTGTCTTCTTACCGGAAAATTTATCATCCCCACGGTAATGATTGCTAGTACTTCGTCGTGTTTTCTTGTTTAGTTTTCGAGATCATAATTCATACGTGCTTGTATGATGATCAGCTGTCAAACCTGGCAAGTATTCTCTTTCTTGGACTTTTTCTTTCCATTATCGTAACCGCCGTGCTCGAGCTCCGATGGAGTGGAGTCAGCATCGAGGAATTATGGCGTAACGAGCAGTTTTGGGTCATCGGAGGCGTTTCTGCCCATCTCTTTGCCGTCTTCCAAGGTATACTGAAGATGCTGGCGGGTATCGACACCAACTTTACTGTCACTGACAAAGCAGCCGACGATGCCGAGTTCGGTGAGCTCTACATTGTGAAATGGACGACGCTTTTGATACCCCCAACGACGCTTCTCATCGTCAACCTGGTCGGAGTCGTGGCCGGATTCTCCGACGCGCTCAACAAAGGGTACGAAGCTTGGGGACCACTCTTTGGCAAAGTGTTCTTTTCATTTTGGGTCATCCTCCATCTTTATCCATTCCTCAAAGGTCTCATGGGTAGACAAAACAGGACACCGACCATTGTTGTTCTCTGGTCTGGGTCCGGTAGCACCACCATGACCTCGAGCTGCACTTCCATTGCTTGCTGATGGTATTTTATTGTCTTCTTCAAGAGTGAACCATTTGCATGTAAACTGGGCTTTGAAAAATGTGTATGGTCTAAATTTTGAAAATTGCATGTACCCATTTTGTGATTCTAAGCAATGCTAGGGGCTGTTTTCCATTGAAATGACTTGAAACCAACAGTATTAGTCTTACCTATGGACATATGATTTTAGATTAAAAGATGAATTTATAAAACCATTTTGATCCTATCAAGGAAGTCTCCTTCATTTTTAGATAATACATTTCAAGTCCTTAGGGTTCATCAATCTTTTTCTAGTGTTTTCCTTCTAAATTACAAAAGGTTGGACTAAATAGAAATTTTGGCACTTCGGTACTGGTACCGATGAGGAGGGGAAGTTGGAATCCATGTCAATCCAACTTCCAAAAGTATATTTGGATAAATTAATTTAATAATTTTTAATTTTCTTTTTCATATTAAGCTTAAACTTCATAACTTTTTTTCATTGTTAGTTCATTTGATGGTGTGATGTTTGGGATTGTATTATATGTCGCTTACATCATTAAAATTTAATTGATGTGACAAAAAATTGAAAATTGGCACTTTGGCGCTTGTCATGCATGGGTAACATAAAATCTAATAGGAGTATTTAGTTATAAAATAATACAACTCCCAAGCTCCAACCTCACTAAAAACTCACCATTTTCAACCATGAAACGACCACCGCCATCACTTAACTTAGCACCATTCTTCTTCCTCCTCCTCCGCCTCGCCGTCGCTGCCACCACTGAACCACCCTCTACACTAGACCCCAAACAAATTGAAGCCTCGAATCCCTCAACATCCCCACCGCAAGAGACCCTTGCATTCACCTTCCCTTAACAACGCCACCGTTTGCGACAACTCCAAGCCCTTCCGCCGCCTCGTTTCCCTCCACCTCTCCAACTGCTCTGCCGACCTTTCCCTCTCTTTCACAGCTCTCAAGTCCCTATCTTACCTACATTCCCTTTGCTTCACCAACTGTCATACTTCCCCTATCCGTTTCCCTTCTGATCCATCACATTCCCTCAGTTCCTTCTCTTGCGTTCGCTCCCTCTGCCGCCTCACCAGCGTCTGGGTCTCATCTTTCGTTAACCTGACCGATCTCACCGTTTCATTCACTCCGGTTAACACCACAGGCCTCTATGTGATCCTTGAGAATATGCATAAGTTAAAGACAGTAACCATTTCTCATGCTAATCTCATCGGTTCTCTTCCAAGGCACCTGCATCAGAATCTGACCCATGTTGATTTATCCGATAACAAGCTCAGAAGAAACATACCAACTTCTCTTAACCTTCTTGAAGACCTGAATACTTGAACCTTTCTTCAAATGGACTAAATGGGGTGATTCCACTAAGTTTGGTGACTTGATATCATTAAAAAATCTTTGGATTCCAATTCATTTTCTAGGTCAATCCCAGATTCTATATCAGTATTCAAGGTTTGGTTCATGTTGATGAGTAATAACCAGTTGAATGGTACTGTCCCAGGTTTTTCTCAGAGTTGAAAGGCTTGAAAGTGTTGAAACTTGAGAACAATGATCTTCATTGGGTTTTGCCTTTCAATGCTAGTTATAAAGAGACTGGATGCTTTCAAGGTTGGTGGGAATAGCAATTTGTGTTACAATCATTATGTTTTGTTATCAAAAATGAAGCTTTGGATTTCTCCTTGTGATAAACACGGAATGCCAATGTCACCTGCTCCTAAGGATTCTTCTGGAGATAGTGACAGTGATTCTGATGATGATAGTGCAGATGATACAAGTGAAAAGAAGCAACATCATGGCCAAATAAGGTTGTTATTGGTGTTGCAATTGCCCTTTCTTCAATAGTTTTCCCTGTTATCTTAGTTCTGCTCTCAAAATGGTGTGGCTGAACAAAACAGTACTAGATTTTGGATTAGGGGAAATTTGTGATTAGAGTTTTCGTTTATTTATTATTGATATTTTGTACACTTTATTTATGATAAATGAGAAGAAGGAAAGTAGCTATACGTGGAATTTTGAGGGGGGAAATGACAAAGAAAGAAGCAAAGGAATCATATACTGTGTGCTGTTCTTTTCTGCTGATGTATTGGTCATTTAATGGTTAAAATACAATGACTTGTGTTAATGTTTTGGCCTGAAAGTTGTGTATTCTTCTTGATCTTCAAATATTTGCTTTGTGACACGATTCGACGATTTTATCTTTTCTGGTGTCTTTCATGTGCTTTACTTAGATTCAGTTTCTTACCACATATGTTTATCGTTATCTTCTAACATTTCGAATATGTTTCATGTCATATTTGAATAGAATAATCTGATTGATACATTGAAAACATATTTAGAAGTGAAATTTACCAAAAATTACATAAAAGGGTTGGCCTACTCACCAGAAACCTCTGCAAGAACAATATCCATCCTTGAAATGGTGAAATCGATCTGAATCTCTGAGCACAATTTCTCTACCAGTTTCCTTGGACATGAACTTGTCCATTTTGTGACAGTCGCCGCATACTCGGAGATTCTTGGTTACTCGTATTGCTTTTCTCGGTGGTAATGTTAATAAACCGAAACCCATGGCTAATTTCTCACTGTGCCCACAGAGCCATTTCTTTTTTCATCTCATCTGCATTATCAAGCATAATTGGTTTTAGGCAAATATCCATCTTCCTCCTTAGCTTCTTAAGCAAAGATTCTATCTTTTTGGATTGTGGGTGTGAATTGTTTCCACTTACGAAGATATTAACTTTGCCCTTTATCTCTATCCAGATGCAGCCTGGGCTCTTTCTTAAGCCTTTCCTTCCAATTGTCTCTCTCATTCTCTTCACTTCCTCCCACTTTTCAGCCTCGGCATAGATATTAGCCAAGAGCAGGTAATATCCGGTATTTTCCTGATCTAGCTTGAAGACGAGTTCTGCAACTTTCTCGGCTAATTCAACTTCATGGTAATCCTGCAGCCACAAAGCAAAGATCCCCAGATTGTGGCATCTGGTGCAATAGTCATGGTTTCGATGAATTCATATGCCTTCAAAAGATTACCGTTCCGAGAAAGAAGATCTACCATGCAGGCATAGTGTTCCAATTTGGGTTCAATGTTGAAATCATTTTCATTATGTAAAGAATCTCCACCTTCCTCAAGTAATCCAGAATGGCTGCGGGCATACACTATAGAAATGAAGGATACTTCATGTGGCTCAATTCCTGCATCTCTCATCTCATTAAAAAAAAGTAATAGCTTCATTTCCAAACCCATGCATACCGTATCCGGCAATCATTATTGTCCATGAGACAATCTTTTGAAGAAATCATATCGAAATGTAATCGTGCAATACCTAGAACTCCACACTTTACATATAAGTCGACGAGTGCATTTGCAACATGTTGATCTGAAGAATACCCGTTTCTCAATATATGACCATGAATCTCTTTGCCTCTTTCTAGAGCAGATAGGCTGGTACATGCAGGGAGAATACATGCCATAGTTCTGCTTTCGGGTTTCAGTTCTTCGAACATTGCAGCAAACGTTTAAGAGCTTCGTTGGAAGACAATTCTTCGAGTAACCTCCAATCATGGTATTCCAAGAAATAATGTCCTTCACAGCCATAGACGAGAAGACAGAATTTGCATCGTCCATGCTTCCACATTTAGCATACATATCCATTAGTGCATTACACACAAACAAATTTGATTCCATGCCATTTGCCTTTATGTAATCATGTACATCCTTGCCATTATTCGACGAACAACTTCTAGCACAAGCATGAAGAATGCTTGTGATAGCAACTACATCTAGTTTAACACCTTCCTTCTCCATTCTTTGAGCAATCTGATGGCTCCATCGACCGGCCATCCCGGGTGTAGCCTGCTATCATAGAAGTCCATGACACAACATTTCTTTCGCCCATCTTCTCGAAAACTCGTAAGGCACCATCGAGATCACCACATTTCGAATACATATCCAGTAAAGTGTTACTAAAGTTGATTCTCCTCTCACAACAAGATTTTATTGTCAAACCATGAACAGCCTTCCCCAATGAAAGAGTACCGGAATTTGCACAACCGACTAGAACACTTACGATAGTAGCCGAATCCACTTCAACACCCAAATGCAACATCTCTTTAAAGACCTCCAGCCCTCTGTTAAAGAGCATTTGATACATAGCCACTTATCATAGAGTTCCATGATACAACATCTCGGTCAAACAATTTATCAACATTTCACGCACTTTCAGGTCTTCTGCTCTTGAAATAAAACGCAATGAGAGAGTTCACAACACTGTTACAACCACCAAAACCCAGTTTTAAAAAATACCCAGGAACACATTCACCTTCTTTAAGACCTCCTAGAGCTGCTAAACACTTGAGAACACAGGAAAATGTGTAAGAGTTCACTTCAATTCCCTTTTCCACCATCATCATGAACAAACGAATGCTCTCCTTGAAATCCCCAACTTTTGCGTACTCACTCACCATAAAATTCCACAAATAAACTCACCATAAAATTCCACAAATAAACATTCTTTTTCTCCAGGCTACTGAAAACCCTCCTTGCTTCCTTTAAATCCCCACAAGTTGCATAAAAGGATACAAGCTTCGAGCTCAAGAGTTCATCGAGTACAACATTATTAGAATCAACGATTGAATGAACTTTTTCCCCATCCGTTAATTATTTTAAATCAGCACAAAGCTGTAAAACAGAGCTGCACGTTCTGGGTTCAAGTTTAGCGTTTTTAGACATGAAAAACAATTCCATTTCATTGTGAAGATCACCCAACTCGCAGAGTTGAAGAATTTTGGCATTATAATCTGTAAGTCGGTTATCAATGGACCTTATCGGCGAAGCTGAGATTCGGATAGGGGTGCAAGAGCTGATAATTGGAGACGAGAGTGGCTTTTGAAGAAGGTTTATGGATAAAGCAACCATTTTTAGATAAGAATAAGTTTTTTCTACGGTTTTGATTTAGGGGAGAGAAACACAAGTTTGGTGCAGTTTTAGCCATGGA